AGAGTGGGTTTTTAAATATTGATGAATTGGATAAGCAGTTCTTTGGTGGATGGATAAATAGCCACTGGGAAAACCCTCAGTGGATGTAGAGCCCTTTCTCATGATCTCATCAATATTTTTGGAAGATAACGTGAGCCATTTAGAAAGTTCAACTGAGAGCCAAGAGTTTGGAGGAAGGGATACAGATTAGCAGGTTCTTGCAGAACCCTAGGTAAAAGTTCATCAAAGCCTAAATTCACTTGCATAGCAATAGGGAAAGAAATAAAAGGTTTAAAAAATGGTAGAGGTGGATTCTCAAGAGCTTCATATCCTTCTTCTGAAAGCATTTAGTGAGTACCTCTCATATTCTCAGTGCTATACTTGTCTCTGGAGATAAAGATATACCTATAAATAAGACATAGTTCCTGGTGGCGCCTGTGGCTCAAGGGAGTAGGGCACCGGCCCCATATGCCGGAGGTGGTGGGTTCAAACCCAGCCCTGGCCAAAAACTGCAAGATTATAAAGAGATGTTGTTAAAAAAAAAAAAAGGCATAGTTCCTATGATCAAAGGATTTATTCCTCTAGGAGAGAAAAAGTAAAAAATAATTACAAAATAGTAGGGAAGGAATACAGTGTTTGTTAAGTACTGACTTTGTTTCAGTTACTGTGCTAGTCGCATTACGTCCATCATCATATTTAATCCTCACCACCTCATTGGTACTGCCCCAATGTGGTAGGTAGGCCTATGCTAGGTGGGCCTCCATTTGTACTCCTACCCTGGGCCCCACAAAGGTTAAGGATAGACCTGCCTTCATCTACACACGAACATCTACATACCTACATCTAACCTTTGCAGGGCCCAGGGTAGGAGTACAAATGGATCCTACCTACCATAAGTCTAAGTATTTAAAAGCTATAAATTAGACTAAGAAACTGATAAAGTCTACTCTGTTTTCTTGGCTTAACACATATGCCTTCATAATAATCTAGAAGGCCAGGTTTAAATTCAGGAGAATTCAGACTTCTCAGCCATCCCTGGCCTGTGGTATCCCCACCCCCTTCTCATCCATGGCTCCGCCCTACACCTTGGGCAGACTACATGGACGTACACATGGACTTGCTAAGCCTGTGGGTCTAGGCTCTGTTCATGCTTTCCACAAAGAGCCACCCTTTGGTCACCTCTCTGTCTTAAGGCACATCTATCAGGAAGGGGCTTTACATCAAAGAGAATATTCAGGCTCTAAAAGCTGGCTTAGGGTGGAGAATTTTAGGGTCCTGAATACCTGATTTGTGATCTCAAAGGAGAGGCATGGGCTGTGGGTAAAGAGCACAGCCTGAGGAGGACCAGAGGGGGCCCTCAGCTCAAGCCTCCCTATCTAAGTGTAAGAGGAAACAAGTAAAGTAACTTACCTAAATGTAGATAGGAGAAAGTGGTAGAGCCAAAATTGCCCAAATTGTCTAGGCACATGGAGAAGGACTAGTACCTCAGTCAATCAAAGCAATGATGGGAGCTCTCTGCAAACTCAAACTCCTGGTTTCTAGTGATCCTCTCCCCTCAGCCTCCTGAGTAGCTGAGACTACAGGCAACCACCACAACACCTGACTTATTTTTCTATTTTTAGTAGAGACAGGTACCTGAGCTCAAATAGTCCTCCCTCCTTGGCCTCCCAGAGCACAGGCATGAGTCACCATACCCTGTCAAATATGAACTTATTATCTCTGATGTAAGGATGTTTATAATATCCTTCACTGAATGGCTCAGCGCCTCTGGCTAAAGTAGCTAAGGCGCCAGCCACATACACCTAAGGTGGCGGTTTCGAATCCAGCCCAGGCCCTCCAGACAACAGTGACAGCTGCAACCAAAAAATAGCCAGGCATTGTGGCGGGTGCCTGTGGTCCCAGCTCCTTGGGAGGCTAAGGCAGGAGACTCGCTTGAGCCCAGGAGGTGGAGGTTGCTGTGAGCTGTGATGCCACAGCATTCTACCCAGGGGGGACAGCTTGAGGCTCTGCCTCAAACAAACAAACAAACAAACAAAAAAACCCTTCACTGAAAGGATGCAGTGAAATAGGAGAGACTGTGATAAGACCTACCCACTCTTTGCCTGTGTCTCGCCACTATCCACCTTAAGACCAAGCTGTGCTCAGTAATCCAGCCCTGTAAGGGGTTGACAGTTGCTGTGAAGCTCAGAGCTTGGAGGTCACCCTTCTCTGGTAGTTCTCTGCCCTGGCTTTGTTGGCTCTTATCAGTGAGGCCTTCTCTGCCCTCCCCACACCTTGTCCTCCCCTTCCTCCTTCCCGCCTTCATTTTCCTGTGTAGCACTTACCACTGTCTGAAATATATTCACTTGTTCTTACTCTAATTTTTCTGGCCCTAAGAAAGAGGCAGCTCTAGTTCTTAGACGAGTGTCTGGCAGAAAGCAGAGGCTGATACTTGCTGAAGGCTGCACACAAACCAGGGTGGAGGGGGATCAGTCACAGGGTGTGAGCCCAAATAGGAGTGACAAACTTTTCCTGGTACCAGCCAGAGAGTAAATGTTTTAAGTTTTGCTGAAAACAAACAATCCTTGCTCCATATTATTCTTTGTAAATAATCTTTGATTAAGCCATTTTGTTAGCTCCCAGGCAGCACATAAGCCGTGGACCTGACTATCGTGGACCTGACTATCGCTTGCCAACCACAGTGAAAGTCAGAGGAAATAGGATTTGAAGCCCAGGTGAAGATGTTGGGTAGAACCAAAAGGGGCCTGTCTTCCTTCTAGATGAAATACAAAGAGCAGGCAAATGAGAAAAGTTCCTGTCAGTGCACCAGCCTCCTAGTGAGGGCAGACTGAGTTCCGCAATTCAGTGTTAAATACGTGAAAGGTGGGAATGTTTCGAAAGAACAGAGTGGCTACTCAGATAGAGGGGGATGAGAAGATGGATAGCACACATGATTCAGCCAAAGTTGCCACACGAATCTGTGCTAGAAGACTAGGGGGAAAAGGAGAAGGGTGAGCCTGAGAATTACAGCTTGTGAAGCTGAAGATGATCTGCACAAAATTCTGAAGGTGGTTGGCCTGATGTACCAGTTCAGAATAATAATTAATTTTCCTCATACTCTTTTTGATAAAACTGCTTCTAGAAACAACAAAGAAATATGAACTAATTTGTGGGTGACAATAATAGTATTTATGTATTAATAAGTAGTCGAAGCTATAACTGTTATCTCATTAATGATACTGTGTAAGTTCTAGCATTATCTCTGATTTACAGATGAGGAAACTAAAGCTTAGAGAAGTTAAGAAACTTACCCAAAGGCTCACAAAGCTCTTAAAAGTGGCAGATCCAGATGAATCCAATCAAATCTGTTTGACACCCAGTCCATGCTGTTAACTTACCTCATTAAGGTGCTGATTAATAAATTGATATCAGTGTGGAAGGAGGTGTCTAGTGACAATTTCTGCCCTCTCTCATTTAGCCTTTTTATCTTGCTTTAGATGAGGACATAGAATACTCACCAAAATTTTTAATAATGTGGAACCAGGAAGAATGGGTGATACATTCAGCACTATGTAACAGAAGGAGAGTCCAGGATTATCTCCAATTGGAATGTTTCACCAAAGAAGAAATGTAATGCAGATAAAAATATAATCCTTTACTTAGGTCCAGAAACAACTACCCAAGTGCACTCTCTTAGCTGTGGGGTGTGAAGAGAAGAAAAATGTTCAGAGGTTTTTGCCACCTCATTTCAAGGACTGTGGTGAACTGTAGCTTGTCCAGAGGAAAATGAAATAGGGGAGCTATTCAAGACTACTTCATCCAACGAACAATGAAAGGAACTTACAAAGTCTTGAGGCAAAAAAAATCCTGATGGTGGTATTTCTGAAAGTTTTTATATGGAAGATAAATTAGACTTGTTCTGTGTGACCTTTTTGTTTGGAACCAGAACTAATAAATAAGGATTATAGGGCCACAGTTTGAGTCAGTATGAAAAATAACTCTTCTAAAATTAAACCAGTTCAAAATTGTAATGGGTTGCATTGAGAATTAATGCATCCCCTGTTGCTGGATATGTTTTAAACTAAGATTGAACTAATCGTTTATTAGAAATTACTCTAGATGACCTCTAAAGTCCCTGCCAACACTGAGTTACTAAGATTTTGCCTCTGAACTTGTCCAGTGAATGAAGCATTTCTATACTATTTTTCAAAAAAGTAAACCTCTCAGCTTTGCTGTGTGTTTGCACCCTGATTTTGTACACTGTTGACTATATGATAGCACACATTATAGAACTTCTGTTTTGAACCTCATCTATACAAACTCTAATTTTTTAGACTGTGACAAAATGTTTAGCACACCAAGTTGGGGTTTGAGTATTTCTTTGAAAAAGATAGATGCTTATTTGTATATAATTCTTGTCAAAGATTATACTGAATTTATACTATATCCCTGCTAATATTTCTTCTAAGCCGTGTTCTATGATTAATTTTAGTAAGTGTAATAAACACCCATGGTATATTCTGGAAAGTGATATTTTCAAGAAGTGCCTTGAAAAGCTCACTTAATCTTTGAACAGATTAAATTCTGATCTACAGCGTGAAGTTGTTTTAGGAGGGACATAATCTATTTGACTTTCTGAGACTGTTATAATTAGTTCTGAATTCTGTGATCTACCTTGTTATATTTTCGTTCTGTTTTTATATACATATATTCAAAGTTTTTTTTTAATCATTATCAATATAAAGTTAACTGGATATACATTTGAAAGCCTCTTGCTTGCTTTTCTAAAGGTATGACAGACATTTATTTATTTTTTTTCTTTTTATTTATTTATTTATTTATTTATTATTTTTTTTATTAGACATTTATTTTTATTGGTTACCATCACTAAGTCTTTCCGATATTCATAACCAAGTTGAAGCAAAAATAGAAACTTTTTCTATTTTTAGTTTTAATCCTTTAAAATTTTCCTAATAATCATTAATATTACTAATAATCCATACTACTACTTATTGATAAGAAATACTTATTTTATTTTTTAGGTGTTATCCCTTTTCATGGATTTTCAATGTACGGTAAGTTGGGAGTTAAAATCACTATGTTGTACACAATAAAAACATACAGGGTCATCTGTGAATATTTTAAAAAATAACTGATAGCAATAATTGTTGTTTTCCTATAGTTTTTATTACCTTGCTATAGTATGGTAATAAAAGAAAGATAAATTAAAATGCATACTAGCCCTCCGTAGGTTTTTATTACACTTAGAAAATTAAACTTAAAAATCACACCTTATGTCAAATCACCCACAAGTTATTATGAACATTTTTAAACATTGAATTTTGTATTGTTTTATATGTCCACTTGAAACTAAAAGGTCATCATAATTGTTTAGGTGATGATTTCTTGACCAATTAGAACATACTGTGAAAGAGGCTCTGTGGTGTACCGTCTTTCAATCCAGTGGAAACTAGAGATGCACATTAATATTTAGCTCTGAAAGGTATAAAATCATATTGCTTAAATTTCTGTTTCCTATTTCTTTTAAGAGTCTTTTTAAAAAATAATAGATCAGAAAGAATTCTACACTTCATCTTAGCCAAAAGGCC